AGAACAATTCTTTATGCTTAAAGGGGTCATATGCTGCTGCTAAAAAGAACATTATTTTGTGTATTTGGTGTAATGAAATGTGTTTATGCGGTTTAAGGTTAAAAAAACACATTATTTTCCACATACTGTACATTATTGTTTCTCCTCTATGCCCCGCCTTTCTGAAACACGTTGATTTTTACAAAGCTCATCGGTCTGAAAAGCGAGGTGTGCTCTGATTGGCCAGCTATCCAGTGCGTTGTGATTGGCCGAATACCTCAAGCGTGTGACGGAAATGTTACGCCCCTTACCATACTGTGATGTAGGCCTGTCACGATAACAACTTTTTGTTGTGCGATATATTGCCCCAGAAATAATTGCGATAAGCGATATTATTGTCATTTTAAAGACCATTTTATGCCACTGAATATATAATCATAATGTAACAGCATAATAATGCAAGAAGGCCTACACACTTCCAAATGACAACAAACTTAATTTTTAAGAATATTTAGATCATGGAAATTAAGTATCAAAATATTAGATACCTTAAAAAACTTGAATAAATAGTGCATAAACATTTTCTAACAAAAAGTGCAAAGTAACAACTAGAAAAAAGTCAGCGACCAGCACGGATCAGCTCTAGGCATGACGAAGCGGATATCGTCCTCTTATGGAAGACCAAACAAAGTACACAACGAAACACAGCGTCTCCACGGCATGGCGGCAGCAACAACAATACTACAGTGAGAATAAAAGTTACGCCTTCTTTCTTTGCGTGAACATTTGGGCGGTGTTATGCAAATCTTCCCACATAGTGACGTAGATATGTGGGGGCGTGTTAGTATGAGCCGTTTTAGGTAGGTGTGGTTGACTCTTAACTTTTTTAAAGAATATCTCTTTGGATTTGAGACTTTAGTCTTTGCAACTTTACAGATCTTCTTTATGCACCAAGAGCTTGTAACACTCCAAAGAGAAAGGAAAAATTGAAATCGCATCATATGACCCCTTTAAAGTGCTTGGAAGATGAAGTTTATGAATAATTCAAACTTGAGGTGCAGGAATTGTCTGCAGCAGTCTATAAATGCCAATATGTGGTTTCCTTAGCAATGAGGACTCTAGGGATATATTCAGACACATAATAAGGTTTAGTTTCATATGTGGGGGCTCAGTCCTGGTTACAGGAATGAGA